TACCAACATACTGTATGCTTGGCTCTCTCTATCAACAAGCAGCAGACTTTATTATTCTGAGGTTAATACTTCTTAATAAAAAAAAACAACAAACATTGATAGCATCACAGTGTATCCATGAGATATGTCTCCACCAAAAAGTGGACAAACAGCCAGACATACCTGAAAGCAGTTTAAAGTCATGTTTTAGATTTTAGACAGTTCAAGAATTGACGGGCAGAAACTGCAACTTCATCCAGAAAGATTTCAAGCTGGGATTTTTACCCAGAACCTTCAGCGTCAACAGAAAGTCTACAGTGCCAACAACTACCAACATGTGGCTTCCCTCTAATGGAAACATCCATTCCTCTGGCTGGGAACCAGACATGTGAGCAAAGGCCTTTTGGTGAAAGTGGAGGCCACTGCAAACATTTGGCTCAAAAGACATTGCAAAACTGTTGCATGTCTTACCAAGTAACTGTGGTTTAATTTATCGTGCAAGTATCTTACTAAACTTGAAGTAAGACAAACTCTAACTTACAAGTAACTTTTCAGAAAGATATAGGATTTTAAGTTAAGTATTTCTAAAGTTAAGCTTTCCACTTTAAGATTATATGAAGACATTTTCCTCATGCCAAAGAAACTAAGATTTTTTCATTATATTAAGGAATTATTGACTAAAAACAAGCTCCTTTACATTACTTGTAAGTTTGTTTTGTCTTCTTAATAAATATACTGACATACTTGCACTAGAAATCTTGTTGCATCACTGGAAAAGAAGCAACGAAAAGCCAAAGCTGAACTGAGCAGGTCACTGCAGGAGCATCCAGAGAGATGCTCCTACATGCTGTGAAGTGGCTCATATCTTCAGGCCTGAGTGAAAAGCGCTCAAAGCTTCATACGGCAGTGGCAGCACAGTCTATTTCAGGCCTGCTGTCACTGCGCGAGCCGGCACCGTGTGTGTCGCACCGCCCTTGGACACAAGCTTGCAGAGTGTGTTGAGAGCAAGGCAAAACACCAGGTTGCCACAGCAACCAGCGAAGGCCACGGGAACAGATGGGGCGGGCGGGTGAGGCGCTAACAGGAGATGAGGTGAGAGCGAGCGCCAAAGGTAGCAATCATCCCAAAAAAAGATTATTTAATATAAGGAAAGGTGTGTTTATGCACACACACACACACACACACACACACACACACACACACACACACACACACACACACACACACACACACACACACACACACACACACACACACACACACACACACACACACACTCTCCTGATGCTTTACGGGAGTCGGTGTGTCTGGTCTCTTGGTGGGGAACTGAGGTGTAGACCTTTGTTTACACAAAGCTCACTGTGTCCTTCTGTCTGTCCAATGTCCACTGTCTCCTAAAACGATTCTACTTTTAGATCATCTGCCTTCATCCTCTCATGCATTTCACTACATCATGGATCTCTGCATTTCTCTAGACGTGCTTCCATTGACCATCACTTATTGGAAAAACGTCAATTTAAAAAAGGAAGAAATGTTTTTTTTAAAATTACAACATAAACCACTTTTTCACATCATGCGAGTCACATGAACAGCCGAATGTTAGTTCTGGCAGAAAAGATGAATAGGAAGACAGGAAGTGGGTAGAGGATGAAGGCACAACACGTTTTAAAGATGTAATGCATGAACAAACTTATTTAGATGTGACTGTAATTTAATTCTGTCTTTTATTTAATGGAAACACCACGATTGCAATCAATTCTCCAACAGTGGAGGACTGACAAAGTTTTTTTCTTTCTGCATGAGAAAGACTCAGACCAGAGGTCTCAAGCAACATTCTGATAAATTAAATCATTTCTTTTTTTAGTCCACATCAGAGTTCAATTAGCAATCACACCTCCCCAAAAGAACCGGACATTTCTGGATAAACGGACTGGAGTTCGACTAAAGCGGACTAAACAGGGCTGGTCTGCACCATTCATTCAGGAGAAATGCCTTCAAGTGGTGGAAATGAAAAAAACGAATCCCCCGTGGAACAAACTTAATGGTCTTCACCTTCAGATACTCGACATCAGGGACTGACTTATTTTTATGTCCCACCAAATGAAATGATGCAACAAAAACAATCAAAGTAACTCTCTTCCTTAGTCAGAAATTGATTCTTATAACCGTTTAGAGTACTTCTCTGCAGTTTACAATCCAATATTTTCAAATGGCAGGACTTAACAACATAATGCAGTGCCACACAATTACACACACACACTAGCAGCAGCAGGTTTAAAGTTGATGCCGTCACCTCTAACAGGAAACGCAATGCCGATGTGTACTAAACACTCCAACACACACACGGTTTTATTATCTTATTCAATAGGCGTATTGTTATTTCATCTCAGCAGAGAACATCAATAGCTTGGCTGTGAGTAAAAATATTCTGTCTCTTTGAAAGAGGTTAAAGCAGTAGCAGAGTGTTCATTGTGTGAAACGTCGCTGCAGAAGGAGAACCCAAATGCAGAACCAACCATGACAATAATGTGCAATCAGCAGGTTAATAATTTATTGTGCAAAAATGAAAAAAAAAACTATTCAGAGGGGTGTGGCAGACAGCAAAACAGGAACTCAGGACAATGATCTGGCAGCGACTGGAAATGAACTGAGGAACAAACATTCATTCACTCAAATGTTGTGATTCTTTTCAGTTCAGTGTTAGTAGTTCACTGCAGGTTTTATGGAGTTGTTCAAAATTATTCACACCTATAGAGGGTAAAAGATTCAAACTCATCTTTAAATTTGACCAACTCAACTCTTCAGAGTCCTGACTTGAACCTAATAGACAATCTGTGAAGGGAACTACAGATTATGGTTATGGCATAGAGACCTTACAGCCTCACAGACAAACCTGTCAGATAAGAAGGGTGTATTTTTCAACATGCCATTTTTAATAAAATGTGGATTTTTTTCTTGTTGATGCTCCTTTTAGATAGTTTTATATTTGATTTCTGTCTCTTCTGCAATGACAAAAACTTTTTAGATCAATAAACTCTGATTATATATTTAAATATGACAGAAGTATGAATCATTTTGGGATTAAATGTAGATAAATTTACAAATAAAAAACTGAGAGCTGAATACATTATGCAAATCTGTTTCTGAATCCAGATTCAAATACTGTTTTTTGTGTATTTTAAGTCAAAATCAAAACTGAAAGATAAATTCACTTAATTATAAAGGTATGACATTATTTGTTGAATAGCCTGTGTGAAAACTTTCCCACAAAATTATGCCCTGGCATTTTAAATGGAGCGAACTCAAAGTTTATTTCCTATAACTTTAGATTTTACTGATTGTTTATTGTTTATGAGTTTTAGCACCAAAGTTCCAGCAAAACACAGATAAGATGTTGGATATAACTAAGCGCTTTGTCAGGGTTTGTCCCTGCATTGTTAATTAACCTTTGCCCCATTGCTCTAAATTCAGACAGAACTGGTGTTATTCTTTGGATTAGACACATAATCCCCAATTAGCGTATTACATATTGAACTTGCCTGCTGTGGGGATTTAGCAAAGGCAGAAGCAGGTCTAACGTAGCCTGACAAGATGGAATTCTGCATGACAGAGATGGCTGGCAGCCTTTTTTTTCAGCCTTTAAATCTGGGAGACATGCATCAAATATCAGAAGAAATGTCTCCAATAAGCAACAATTTGCTGCTATACAAACAAAGAGCAGGAAAGAAAACATGATCAACCTCACAAAGGGTTTGATATTCAATAAACTGCATGATGTGGAGTAAGCATTAACCTGACCTGCTGGACAGCTGGAGTCATGTGATCTCTGTCCTGTCTTCTGATTGATCATTAATATTGCCTCTCCGTCCCTGCAGTTTTATGGAGGTTTAACATTAACAAACCCCTCCAGCACCAGTTGATGACCAAGTCATTACATACAAGGATGAGTTAATATGTGCATTAGTTATAGTGTTCTCCAACACTGACCGTGACGGAGATAATTACAGAGCAATCATTAAATCTGCAGAGACTTAATAAGAGGTCAAAGAGAAGCGGGCGTAAAGGAGTGCGCTGCTCTGATATGCGAGTCCGTTACAAGAGCCGGATTCAAGGTGGCTGACAGACAGGAAGGATTTTTGTGTCAGGAACCGGAGGCAAAGCTCAGTGGGTCAAATTCTTCCTAAACCCAAAACTTTATCCAGCTGAACAGAAACAAAACTGAAGTTTTTATCTCTAGATCCAAAGATCTAGAGTCAGCACAGCTTCAGTTTTTACAGAATGAACTCTGACCTGAACCTTCAGAGCCACATACAGACAATTACCAGGTTGGCCTTCTGTCACCTGAAGAACATTTTTAGGATTAGAGAAATAATGTGCCAGCAAGATCTACAAAAACTTATCTAATGTGTTTTTCTGTAGATGCATTTATTACTGCAACAGCGTTTTCACAAGTCTGCATAAAAAAATCAACCCTCCAGCTGCAGCTGATCCAGAACGCTGCTGCTGGCGTTCTGACTAAAACCATCAAGACGGAGCACATCACCTCCGTTCTAAAGTCTTTCACTGAGAGAACAGACTTTAAAATACTGTTGTTGGTTTATAAACGGCTTGGCAGTAAAAAAAAAAACATTAAAGGTTCTGGTTCTGGTTCTGCTCTGCATCCCCAGAAGCAGAACCAAACATGGAGAAGCAGCATTCAGCCTCTATGGACCACACATCTGGAATTAACTTCCAGAAAGTTTTTTAGCAAAACAGCTGAAAAACTGAGTTCCTTTAAATCAAAGCTAAAATCTCATCTGTTTAGAGCTGCACATATTTCATGTGTAGATGAGTTTGATGATGATACATGGAAAAATGTAGTACTTGTTTCACAACTGATGACTGCATGATGTAAAACACATTGACTGTCTAGTCGCTGAAATGAATATAAATAAACTGGACTTGGCTGTGGACTTGGGAAGTGGTGGGCATATTTTGCAGCTCATGAGCAGCGGATCCTTTTCGCAAAGCATTTCTCTGACCTTGCGCTCTTTGTCTCCGTACTCCAGGCCCAGCGTATCCATGGCGCGGACGATGGCAGCCAGAGATTGGATGGTGTTGCTGTAAACGACAGGCTTGTACTGCTTTACGTCATCGCCAGAAAAACCGTCCTCATGGATGATCCTGGACAGAAACACAAGAAAGTCCGTTTTTATTTTAGAAGGTTTTTTCTTTTAGAAGAGAGTTAAATTGGTGGAAGACTTGAACAAAAAGACAAAGAGAAACAGACACTGGGACATAAGGGAGGGTTTATTACCAATGGGCTTAGCTGACATTTAGACACACAGTGCGTCCTGCTGTTTCAAATGCCATGATGTCTTTCACTGCAGTGAGCACACGGACAGAACGGTGGCCCGGTTAGCCAGGCAGACAGACGATCAAACAAAGTCAAACACAGCGAGCGATGATGGTGAGATGAGCAGCAGAGAACAAAACACGGGTCACCAGGAAGCTTCCCCCTCGATCCAAAGAGACAGAAGCAGGTTGGACGAACGCTGTGAGGCAAGTAAGAGGGACAGCGTCCCCACACATGAGGACGTAAGGAAGAGACAACCAGATGCTTTTCTCCATCTCTATCAAACTGACAAGGTTGGTCTTCATTTAGACCACCATGAATTGTCCCAATCTGTAACTGTGCTTCACTGTAGACCTTTTGCAGAAATCAGCAGGCAGGTAAGCTAGCCGATGGAAGCTAACCATACGACCGGATGATCGTAACGTTGAACTCCTCATCAGTGGACCCTGCGCTGCGACAGCATCCATTACGCTGCGCATGTCACCTGCAGAAAGCAAGCCAGAATCGACCAAACAGCGATCAGCTCTCTTTGCCTGGTGCAGGTTTGGTCGTCTGCAGATGTCAGAGGTTTTATTTTAGTTCAGCGTCTCTGTACATCACACAGCCTCCGTTCAGCTTGATACACTTAATTTCAGATAGCCATCCTGCTTCGTCTTCATTTTTCGAGTAATAGTGACCAAAAAAGGAATTAATACTCATTTGTCCTTTGCCAGCTAAACATGTTTTATTTTAATAAAGATTTGCAGTTTTAGACAACACAAAGCTGTTCGTAGAGCAGTATGTAAAACTGCTTTAATATTCCTCGTAAGTAATGTGTAGCGACTGAAGTTTGGGAGATTTTTTTCTTGCTATTTATCATAACTCAGATGAATGTAACACATAAGGGTCAATAATGCCAATTTGGCAGCATAACGTATTTCTAATGCTAAAACAACATGATTACTGCAAGAAACTATGGCAACCGGTAACAATTTAAAGGCCTAGCCGGCTCTTTCTGCAATAAAGCTGCACGCACGTCCACCATGTTTACAAAAACATCATTCCATGTAACAGATGCCACAAAATTATATTTTAATCGGATATTATGGATAGTCTGACACAAAGTAGAGCATAAAATGAAACAAATAAAAATCTAAAAAACTGAATTTGTTCAATTGAATTAAAAAATATATTATGTATCCCAAAGGGAAATGAAATGTCATAACTCATATCTTCCACTCATCTCTAGTCGTTGCGGATGGTAATGCTGTGAGCAGGAATAATATGCAAAAGCAGTCTGTTTTGCAGTGAATCTGAAGAGGCCTCTGACTGAAGGCAGCCTTTATCCAGGCAGCAGAGATGATTTAACACAGTAACACATGAATCTTTAGTTTCCTTCTCAGGGTATCAAAGGGTTACCTTTGCAGAGGCATCATGCAGACAGTTGGAAGCATGCAGTGTGCAGTGACAGGGTTAGCATTGTCCCAGAGCCGTCCTCTGGCAGCATAATGTTTCAGATCAATCAGACAACCCTCCCTCAGAGTTACATCACAGCTTCAGACCACCAGCTCCTCTGCAGTTTTCTCCTACATATAATGTTCACAGCTGCCTCCACTAGCAGAATCACAAATAAAACCTCAGAGTGCATGCATGATTAAAAGCCGCCATGATAACTGCGTCTCTCCGTCTCCCTAGGTGCTCCAGCTCAATTTTTAGTCTTCCCACTCATGTCTCCCCATGTCTTAATGACTTGCCAACCAGCCACTTAATCTGAAACTTTGCCTCCCATCTTCCCTTGCAGCGGGGAGGTGAAACAAGGACAAACTCCTAATTGGATGCTGCAGTCTCAGAGGTAATGGTATGTTAAGCTGAAAATGCCAAGAGAGTCTGAAAAAGAAGCTGACAAAATTTTAAAATACAAACATTCTGCTGTTGATAAAGTATAGGATCGAGTCATCTTCACGTTCAAGGACGACAAACACTCAACTCTAAAGCATGGTGGTGGCAGGCTGGTGATTTGTTCTCATTTTGAATTCTCCAGACAAACATAAAGCCGACTATCTGCCAGCTGAGGTTCGACCCAAACTCGGTCATGAACAGGACGATGATTCCAAACACTGCAAATAATCTCCAAACCCAGTGGAGGCTATTTGGGACGCAGAAATGAATATCTGCAAGTAGCATTGCAGCCACTGATTATTTTTATTTTAATTGCCACAGTCTTCAGATTTATTTTAACCTTTTTATATATGTTAGAAATGTATTTAAAAAAATACAACTAAAATATTTCAGTTTCTTTTTAAAATAAAAAATAATTATATTTTATTGCCTAAAATGCAATAACAGCTTTCATTAGTGAACACTTGATCATTTGCATCTACAATGTTAAAAAAATACTTTTAACAATGCTTCTGAGCTCAACCCTTTCTGCATGTTGGGCTGATTTTCTGGATTACTAATTAATCGTTGGACAGCAAAAAGCCACTTTATTTTCTTAAAAAATTTGAACCAGATGAAGCTAAAACTGCAATTTGAGGAGTTCTGGGTAGAAAATATTTACAATAAATTTTATTTTGTTATCTTAAATGCACAATGTATGTATTTCTTCTACAATTTTGGCTCAATTACAGCTCTTACATTCTTTCAGCAATTTTTTTGAGTCTGTACGATAATTAGTTGACTATTATTTCAATAACTGCTTTGTCATGATGAATCTGATCAATCATTTCACGCATCAGTGAAGACACCAAAGGGCTCGGTATCTTTCACGGTGATTTTTTTCCATGCAGTGTTGAACTGCAGAGACTCAAAGTCAAACGGTAAATCATGTCACCCTGATTAGCTCAGAATGAAGCCACGTCACACCAGGTGAAAAAAGAGCTGAACAATAACTTGATATTAATATTAATGAAGGTGTGACTGACCCACTTAATGTCAGAGTGTGTGTGTGGGTGTGTGTGTTTCAAGCTGGCATGCTGACGTGAGTCTTCATGCACAAGGACCTTTTTCTCATTACCCACTCTGAGGGCCCTTCTGTCAGCAAGCGAACTGGCCTGTGTGTGTGTGTGTGTGTGTGGGTGTGTGTGTGTGTGTGCGTGTGTGGGTGTGTGTGTAATTTTTTTGTATTTTGGCACAATCTGCACAGTGACCTGAAACATAGTTTAGCTTCACACTGGGTCAGACAGATGGATGGAGAGACAGACATATGGGTAATTTACTCACTACATTATTCCATGATATTATTACGCGGCTGCAGTTTCGGAGGCTGAATAGCAGGTGTTTGGCTGAATGGAAACTGCCAGTCAGTGATCCATAATCACATTTAATAACTGCTGTTTGTGGTGCTCAACACTTCCAAATTTACTTTTGGTCTACTTTAAAATGACAAACTCATCAAGTTTCTAATAATGAGATTGGAAGTACGCTGCTGTTATCTCTGACCATTAACAAAAAGTCCTAATATTAACTCCTCGGCTGCTGCAGCTCCAGAATTGACCAAACAATCCAACAGTTTAACACAGCAAAAGTAGGAGGGAAGTAAAGCAAAATTATTAATAAAGCATGTCAGGTTTTTGATGCTAACCTGATTTATTCATTTATTTTGTCTGATTGGAAAATAAGTTCCTAATTTTGCCTATTGAAAGCCATATTGTGTTTGTTTGCTTGTGCAGATTAGCAACTTCTTTAAAATGATCTTTAAACTTTGGAGAAACAAATGCGCTGCTGGATTGGCTGCTTTACAAATGCCAGCCAATAGCCTGTCAAGTAGCATTTTGAATAGGCATTCCAGTTTCCCAAGATGCATCTTGTTTTGAATATTTTAGATATCCTCTACAAAAGAAAATCCACAAATATGTGGATATTTGTGAGTTACATTCTGCAGAAAAATAAATGAACACTGAACCACAAATAGGCAGGGGTCCACTGCAAGAATGAGGAGCTTGCTAGAAAGTAACCTTTTGACATGTATTTCCCCTAACTGAACTTCAATGACACAGTTGCGCACCCGACACGTCCAGTTTGATGCATCGACTACAAAAGAAACACCAAACAAGAGTTATCCTGGTGGTGGGGAGGGCAAGTAAAGCCTGGTGGCCTGTCAGGTTTATGATCCACTGAGGGAAACCCTGTTTATAGAAGGACTTGACAAGACAAGTGTTTTTACTTTCAATATATCATTTGGCCATTCTTCTGAGTGAAACTGTACAGATGTATGTAAATATGGAGTAATGGACCCAAAGATACATGAAAAGACAAAGTGCATGAAGCTCTCTGCTCTCCGCCTCTCATTATCCTCCACACTCATATTTTTATCTTCACACCTACTTAAGTGAACACACACATACACAGAGCTCACACACCACCCTGTGCAATTAGGTCTTTATCTCAGACCCTGTGAGCTCGGCACTGTTTGTCCTGACAAACACACGCATCCACGCACACGCACACACGCACAAAAACCCGTGATTGGTTCTTTTATCTCTAAGCTGTGCTTTCGCTCAGTCCATGCTGTATGTCGACAGCGCCCTTGGTCATGACAAAGTGCACGCTGACCGACGGCTGTCAACGCTGCAAGGTCCGATTTACTTGCATAACAACCAGGTATGTGTGTTTGTTGAGGAGGACGTTAGCACAGGTGCAAAGAGTGAAATAAAGAGTTGGTGTAAGATGTGATGTGTGATAATGAGCTTAAAAAAGCATGAAATAAGATGGAGCTAATCAGAAAGAAGAGGTCTATTTATAGCCGAGGGCATCAGCGATGCGGCCCCCACCTCCACACTGACTGACCCACTCAAACAGCAGCACAAACAGCAGCACAAGCATCAGCTGCTGTCATTTGGCTCCATTC